GCTTGTTGCTGTGGGGAGTGCCGGAGCTGGGGGACCCCGGGGGCGGGACTAAGGGAGGTTCCTCCCGATGAGCACCCCCTCCTCTGCCCGCAGCAGCCGCTAGTGCGACAGTCCCATGGTTTGGCCGTTTGTGCCTCATTGCTCTGCCTGCTGCCCAGCTGCTTTCGATTGCTTCCTTGAGCTTTCTGAGGGCTGCGGGAGGGTTTGCGTTTCTTGGGTGTTCAGGTTTCTGGTTCTTGCCTTTTGGAGTCTTGTCCTGCGTAGCCGCTGTTCCGGCCGTTTCTCTTCTGGTTCTTGGCTGTTCTAGGCTCGCCACTTATCCCTGTCCGATGCGGCTTTTTGGCTACGTGACCGACGCCTCTGTTCGGCCTGTCGGACTGGTGATAGTTGTGGCCACGTGCCAGCGGACTTCTGCCTGTCCATCGCCCGCTTACTCTTCGGCCGGCCTTGTTGGCGGGCCTTCTTGGCTATATTCTTTACCCTGGCGGCGGCTTTCTGGCTCTTTTCGTCAGCCGTCTATCGCCAGGTTTCCGCCACTCTTCCTTCTGTCGTGTTAACACGCTCTTGCGATGGCGAGCGGCGGCGTGGGGTGTTATTCCGTTTCCGAACTCTGCGCACTCACTGGCGGCGGGCGATTGCCTGGCCACCTGCCCGTCGCCTGCTGCCCAACCTGCGTGATTGGCGGCCCGGGCTTGCACGCTCTCCCTTTCTTGTTCGGCCTGTCGCTTGCCTTTTCAGATTGTCCTAGACCTGGCGGCGGTCCCGGCTCTGGATGCCGGCCGTCTACTGGCCTCCCTCCCTCTGTCTACTTTACGCACTTGGCGCTTGCTGGGCCACTCCCCTCCCTCTCCCGGAGCGCTCACTGGCACCTTCCCGGCCTCACGCCTGCCGCCCTTCTGCCCGGGCGGGTGGCGGCTCTGGCTACGTGCCTGCCGCCTTCTGCCTACCTGTTCGCTCTTTCCTCGGCCGGTTTGGCCTGTTCTTGGCTAATCTCCTGACCTGGCAGCAGCCTTCCTGACTAATCTCCTAACCAGGCAGCGGCTTTCCGGCCCTTCATGCCGGCCGCCTGGGTGGGCGGTGGTCCTGGCTACGTGCCAGCCGCCTTCTGCCCTACCCTCGCAAACTCCTTCTTCCTTGGCGTTTGCCGCGTCGATTTCCTTCGTTTCCCTGTCTGCTTGCCGCCTCCTGTCCGGCTTGGCCTTCTTGGCTCAGCGGTATTACCTAGCGGCGGCCTTCCGGCAAGTCACGCCGGCCGTCAATATACTGCCGGGCTTCCCCAATACTCTTCCGGCGGTGGTCAGGGCTGGTGCCCGGGTGTTGGGGGGGCGGGTGCAGTACTCCTCTCGCATGCTCCTTCTCTTTTGGTGCTTTCTCCTTCAGCTGGCGGCGGCCTTTCGGCGGCAAGCCGGCCGTCTACTGCCTGGTTCCGGCGGCTCTGGCTACGTGCCGGTCCGTCCCTTTCCTTCTCTTCTTGTCGGTTGTTGCTCGGCCATTATTGGCTCAGCGGCTTTACCTGGCGGCGGCCTTCCGGCAAGTCACGCCGGCCGTTTACTGCCGGGCTTCTGCAGACTTCCTCCGTCGGCGTTAACTGCCAACCGCACTTCCGAGGCCAATGCCGCTGGAACCGAGGTGCTCATGCAGGGTACCGTGTGGTAGGAGCGGAACAAGTGCAGCTCTGCCCCGACTGCTTTTGGACCTGGTCGCAAGCTCTTGCTGCAGTCCCCGTGCAGAGCCCTTTCCCTCCGGAGGATTCCTCCTTAATGCTCCACCTCCGCGACTGCGCAGCCTCCTGCCTACTCGGCAGGGCAGACCTGGCTGATCTTCGCACTGCCTTGGTGAATTTGCGACAGTCAGACATGTCCGCTTGCCTCTCCCTCTCTCTCGTCTCTCCGTTCCCTCCTCCGCTCGCTCCCCCCTCCCCCCCTCATCC